ATAAAGATTCTTCTTTTGATATTAAAACATAGTCTTATTTCTAGTTACTGTGTGATTTTGAGCAAATCTTTTTACCCATCTGAACATCAGTATTTCCCGCTTGTGAATAAGGCCACTGGGCTAAATCAGTGCTTCTAAACTGTGGTTGTCATGGAAATCACTTGGGAAATCAGTGAGGGAAAGCTCTCTTCATACAGGAATTCCAACCAATAGAGGCAAAATTAGGGAACGAATCATCAAGTCGGCATTTTCCAACTCCCTCTGGAATTACTGATTCAGGAGCGGCTCATCAATGGATGTTAGACCATTCAGTGAAAAGTTGTTGGGAAACAGATTTGCACAGTGACAATATCCTACTATACAACTGCTTACTAATTGCAATGAGAGCATGTACCTTTACTGAGGCGTCAGTCACCACCTGCAGAGGTCTGGCCTGCAGACCCTGACTCAACAACGGATGAATGAATGCGCTCTCACACCATTGCAGTGATTCCAGTGGGCTGGGGATGGTCACTGGCCGCTTGCAGAGGGCGAAATGCAGCCAACTGACCAAGACTCCCTGTCCATCCACACCTTTTTCCCATAAAGATTTCACAGCAGAGGTTCTAAGTCAACACACTTGGGGATAATTAACATGGTTAAAAGGTGGTTTTACAAATAATGAAAGCTTTAGGTTCAGGGCCCAGAGTAAACCCTATTAACGGGTGAGTCCCCTTTCATCTCCCTGGAGAGGACCATCCAGCACAAAGTTTACAGAAGTAAGCAGAGTAGAGACAAAGGGATGTGAGGTCAAAAGACTTAAACTGGGCCAGGCGCGGTGGCTCACACCTGTAATCCCAGCACTTTGGGAAGGCAAGGCGGGTGGATCACGAGGTCAAGAGATCGAGACCATCCTGGTCAACGAGGTGAAATCCCATCTCTGCTAAAAATACAAAAATTAGCTGGGCATGGTGGCGCACGCCTGTAGTCCCAGCAACTCGGGAGGCTGAGGCAGGAGAATTGCTTGAACCCAGAAGGCGGAGATCATGCCATTGCACTCCAGTCTGGGTAACAACAGTGAAACTCCGTCTCAAAAAAAAAAAAAAGACTTAAACTGGGAAAGCCTCTTATTGTCCCTATCCCTTCCCTAACATAATGGACCCGCTGCCTTCAACCTGTCCCCATAAAACCTTTCGGCCTTCCAAAAGGTTTGAGACTATAATCTATAACTTTCCTTAAAATTTCTCTAATATTTTGCCAGCTACCCCAAGTGAATCTCAACACTTTACAATGGACAGATCCAGCTGTTCCCATTATAACGAGGGGGGCACTAAGCATGAGACACACAGATGTTATGGGAGTGCTGATGCATTACCATGAAGGACTCTTTCCAAAATCCTTAACCTGAACTTCAGTGAGCCTTAGTTGAGGGACAGAGCTAAGTTTTGTGGCCTAAAGCATATACAATATTGAGACCCCTTCTTTAAGAAAAGGAATATAGCCAGATGCAGTGGCTTATGTCTACAATTCTAGTACTTTGGGAGGCCAAAGCAGGAGGAGTGCTGAGCCGATGAGTTCAAGACCAGCCTGGGCAACATAGTGACGCTCTGTCTCCACAAAAACAAAGAAATCAGTCAGGCAATATGGTGTATGCCTGTAGTCCCAGCAACTCAAGAGGCTGAGGTGGGAGGATGAATTGAGCTGTGGGAGTTGAGGCTGCAGTGAGCCGAGATCACGTCACTGAACTCCAGCCTAGGTGACAGCACAAGACTCTATCTCAAAAAAGAAAAAATACGGCCAGGCGCGGTGGCTCATGCCTGTAATCCCAGCACTTTGGGAGGCTGAGGTGGGTGGACCACAAGGTCAGGAGTTCAAGACCAGCCTGACCAAGATGGTGAAACCCCGTCTCTACTAAAAATACAAAACTTAGCCAGGCATGGTGGTGCTTGCCTGTAATCCCAGCTACTTGGGAGGCCGAGAAAGGAAAATCGCTTGAACCCAGGAGGCAGAGGTTGCAGTGAGCCGAGATCACGCCACTGCACTCCAGACAGGGCAACAGAGCAAGACTCCATCTCAAAAAAATAAAAAGAAAAATACAAAATTAGATACAAAAGGGAATCTTTATGTAAAACGAGAAAATAAGATTACAGGTTACAAAGTTCAAAAAGGGATCAAATACGAACATTCAAAAAGGATCCAGGCCGGGTGCAGTGGCTCATGCCTGTAATCCCAACACTTTGGGAGGCCGAAGCGAGCAGATCACCTGAGGTTAGGAGTTTGAGACCAGCCTGACCAACATGGAGAAACTCTGTGTCTACTAAAGATTCAAAAATTAGCCAGGCATGGTAGCACATGCCTGTAATCCCAACTACTCAGGAAGCTGAGACAGGAGAATCGCTTGAACCTGGGAGACGGAAGGTTTCGCGAGCCGAGATGGCGCCATTGAACTCCAGCCTGGGCAACCAGATAGAAACTCCATCTCAAAGAAAACGGGGGGGATCAAATGTGAACATCAAAAAATCCTAGAAAAAACAGTATTTGTGTAAATTATCTGCCTGACACGTCTCTGCAATGCTTTTCTTCTCCCTTTTTGGCTGCATGTTCTTTGCACTATTGTGTTGAATCGCTTTAGAAGAGGGGCTGTCACCCTAGCAGCATGTTCCAGGCCTGGGGCCCCGCCTCCCACCCCAATTGACTTGTAGATGCTGGGGATAGGCCTGAACATTGCTAATGTTGGGGCTCAGGACAAACCACCCAAAATATGGCCATAGGACATGAGAACGTGACAACATATACTTCCTTGGCATATTTTGAGCTTTTTAAAAATATTATTATTTTTTTAGAAGGAGTCTCGCTCTGTCACCTGACTGGAGTACAGTGGCATTATCGCAGCTCACTGCAACCTCCGCATCCTGGGTTCAAGCAGTTCTCCTGCCTCAGCCTCCCACCATGCCCTGATAATTTTTGTATTATTGGTAGAGACAGGGTTTCACCGTGTTGGCCAGGATGGTCTTGGTCACTTGACGTCATGATCCGCCCGCCTCGGCCTCCCAAAATGCTGGGATTACAGGCATCAGCCACTGCCCCCTGCCTGAGCTGGTTATTTTGATAAACTGCAGGCACAGGAGTAGCTGAAAAGCTGTCCTTTTGCAAAGAAAATTTGCATCTACAAAGGAAATCTACATCAGTAAAAAATATCTATACCAGTATTATATTGAACTGAGCACAGAAAGTCAACACCAGAACAAAAGTATGCCAAATTGCAGGGTTTATTGCCGGCGACCACAGAGGACTCACGTCTCTCCAACCCATGGCCTGGAAAGAAGAGAGACAAGACCTTTTTATACCCGCAAAACCACCTTGGGAGTGGGGGTGGAGATGGGAATGAAAGCTGTCAATCACCTCCCAGGCTAAGACGAGGGTGAGGGGCTTCAGACATTCCGAGGGCCAGTGGATTCAAATCACCTTCTGGGCAGAGAGGAGGGTGAGGGGGTTCCGGACATTTCACGGGCCAGGGGACTATTTGACATTCTGATTGTTATTTAAGGGGTTCACAGATGCTGAGATTAACATTCGTTTACACATCGTTTGGGTAGGGGGGATCCATAGATTTTTAATTACTTGGCGCCAGGATGGAGTTATCTGGGGGTGCTTACTCTGGTAAACAAAGGCCCGTAATTCTGGCATTTACAGATAAGAGGAGGTATGCAGCTTTACCTCAATTTGCATCCTGCAAATGATCTAGCAATTTACAAAAGCCAAGGTTAGCAGTCATTGTCAGGAGAATGGAAACAGTTTAGTTCTTTATAAAAATGGCATTGTACAGGTTCTAACTCTAGGCCGGCTATATCACACCAGGCAGAGGGCTGCTCTGAGACACCTCTCTCAGCTGAGATGCTGATTCTCTGCAGAGCAGGACAGGATCTGCTCACCATGCTCTTAATGGTGCGTGTCACCCACCAGCACAGTAGCTAGTAATCCCAGCTACTCAGGAGGCAGAGACAGGAGAATCACTTGAACCTGTGAGGTACAGATTGCAGTGAGCTGAGATTGCACCACCGCACTCCAGCCTGGGTGACAGAGCAAGACTCCATCTCAAAAAAACAAAAATAAAAACAAAAAAACCAACAAACAGAATGCCGTGTAAACCTCAATCATCTGGCCTTTTGAGCCTCATATTTGGTGGGACTTCTGTGCGTATGCACATGACTAAAATGGTTTTTCTCCTGTTAATCTGTCTGCTCTCGGTGTGTTTCATAGACTCAGTTATCAAACCTTCAGAGAGTAGGAAGTTTTACTCTCCACCACACCAGTCTTTAAACATGCCTGGTGTCTCTAACGTGCAGCCGAGCTGAGAACACTGGCTGGCCTCCCACACCCTCCGCTGGGACTTGCTCTGACTCACACAACAGGACAGCAGAGGCTTGGCAAGACAGGAAGCCAGCGCCTGGGGCAGCAGCCAGGTCTGTGCTCCCGGAAATCCACATTTGGTCAAAGGGGACACTTCGGGTTGCCGGGAGCACTTGGCCTACTTTGCCCTGCCTCTGGCTGGGTTGGCCTGGCTTCTCCCCACATCATCCCCTGCTTCAGAGACTCCTCCACACAGAGCTGGTCTTAAAGCGTAAACAAAACCCATGGATGATGGGGCCACAGAGGTGGCAAGACCCCAGAGGATGCTGGAGGAAGCTGTGACCTCAAAATTAAGCAGAGCATCTGTGAGCTGGATGTTTTACACCCATTAGCAGTCACTCCCCATCTCCCCTGCCTGCCAGCCCCTGGTGTCCATTAATTTATATATAAATTATTTTATATAAAGAGGATCATACAATACATGACCTTTGTGACTGGCGTCTTTCATTCAGCATCACACCCAGTTTCAGCCTGGGTGACAGAGCAAGATGCCATCTCAAAAACTAACAAAACAGAATGAGAAACTGCTGGCAGTCCCTAATCTAGTATTGTCCTGGCTCCACCCACCTTCAGATCCAGCCTCTCCCCCCACCCCCCCACCCCGGCACACAGGAGCCTCCTGCTCTGCGCTCACAGTGAGGGAAGATCCCCTCTGTGGAGAGAGCTGTAGCCTTGACCTCTGCAGGCCTTACTCATCTAGAGCACGAGGCAGGGCCGCTGACTCATCCTGATTTACCCCGGACTTTCCCAGTTCCAGCACTGAAAGTCCCGCATCTGGAAAAGCCCCCGAGTCCCAGACAAACCAGACAGTTGGGACCATGCAAAGCACGGTGCACGGTGCTTTGGTCACAAAGTTGATTCAAGAGACAGAAAGCACCACGTGACCCAGGCTGTGAGGAGAACACAGGAAACTTGCCAGGGGTTCACCCGCCACAAGCATCAGGGTTGCCTTTCCAGAGATCAGCAAACGGAAGCACAGTCGTGACTTGTCCTCTTCTGCAAGACAAGGCAGTAACGAATCCATGAAGGGAAGGAGCTGGAATTGAGCAAGGCAGCAGGGCCTGATGTCATTTCTGTGTGTTTTGTTTTTTCTTTAACGATCAAGGTAAAATTCACATAACATAAATTAACCATTTTAAAGTGTACAATTCAGAGGCATTTGGTACATTCACACTGGTGTGCCACCGTCACGTGTATCTAGTTCCAAAATACTTTCACCTCCCCGAAAGGAAGCCCGTTACTCAGTCACACCTACTCCATCACCCCCGCCCCCAGTCTCTGACAACCACCGATGTAGCTTTTGTCTCTCTGGATGTGCCTTTACTGAACATTTCATATTAATGGAACCATATAACACGTAGTCTTTTGTGACTGGCTTTTTTCCCTCAGCATCAATTTTTTTTCCTTTTTCTTTGAGACAGTCTTGCTCTGTCACCCAAGCTGAAGTGCAGTGACGTGATCTCAGCTCACTGCAACCTCTGTCTCCTGGGCTCAAACGATTCACGTGCCTCAGCCTCCCAAGCTGCTGGGATGCAGGCGTGCACCATCATACCTGGTTAATTTTTTTTTTTTTATAGAGACAGGGGTCTCACTACATTGCCGAGACTGGTCTCAACTCCTGACCTCAAGCAATCCTCCTGCCTCAGCTTCTCAAAGTGCTAGGATTACAGGTGTAAGCCACCATGCCCAGCTTATTGTCCTAGTTTTTTTGCTTTTTGTTTTTTTGAGACACAGTTTCACTCTTGCCACCTAGGCTGGAGTGCAATGGTGCAATCTCAACTCACTGCAACCTCCACCTCCTGGGTTCAAGCAATTCTCCTGCCTCAGCCTCCCAAGTAGCTGGGACTACAGGTGTGCGCTACCACACACAGCTAATTTTTGTATTTTTAGTAGAGACGGGGTTTTACCATGTTAGCCAGGCTGGTCTCAAACTCCTGACCTCAAGTGATCTGCCCACCTCAGCCTTCCAAAGTGCTGGTATTTCAGGTATGAGCCACCACGCCCAGCTGCCTTAACAATTCTCGATAAACATTTATTAATGAGATGTCAATTGAGCTGTTTACCTATGTACTTGTTTCCAGAAAGAAACAGGGTACACCTAGGCCACCCTGGATGTCAGTGAAAGGCTCTCTTCCCTTTCAGTAACTGATTGAGAACCTCTTCTATGAACCTTAGAATGTACCAGGAAAATCCATTCCGCAGAGTCTTATTTCTGGGCATCCTGTGCATAAGAGCTGAGAGGAATCTGATTTTTATGCAGCGCCGAACGTCATTAAAAGGCTTCGAGGAAGTTTCCTGAGCTTCCTTGATGTTCACGGCGCTTACTGTTAGTTTCACACTTAGCTAAGTAACCTTTGATACTGTGTGGTTATCACATAATAACCACAGGTCCTTTGTCTTCTCCGTCAAAGGTGAAGAATTCGAAGGACTTTAACCACTGGTAAAAGTGTCTTCTCACATAAACCGCATAGCAGCAAGCATCCTATGAACCCGCTGGTTATTCTCACTAAGTGGGTTGGATACAAGTAACAAGCTGATCGCAAAGCTACCCAGACTGGATTGAGTGTAGGGTAGCCAAACGGCATGACTGAGAAGGGAAATCTCCTCTATCCACCCTTTTCCCATTAGTTCCAACCCAGCCTCGTGGCTGAGCCCAGCTTCCCAAACCTCTCTGATGGTGGCTCCAGGCAGTCCAAGCCAGATTTACCTGAGTGCTTCCACCATCCCAGGCTGCAATCAATGCCTTCCTTTGTCATCTGGGCGTTCCCCAGGTTTGTGGAACTGCTTCCAGGAAGGTGGGTCCTGCCCTGTGGGTGCCTGGAGCAGGGACTGGTCACCAGCATCAAATGCCCAGGGAGGGAGCACAGATACATGAATCAATTTTTAGAGGAGACAATAACCCACTCAAAAAAGGGCAACAGCCAGACATGGTAGCTCACACCTGTCATTCCAGCATTTTAGGAGGCTGAGGCAGGAGGATGGCTTGAGCCCAGGAGTTTAAGACCAGCCAGGGTAACTTAGTGAGACCCTCGTCTCTCCATATTTTTTTAAATTTGTTGGGCATGGTGACCCCCATCTATAGTCTCAGCTACTCGGGAGGCTGAGATGGGAGGACAGCTTGAGCCTGGGAAGTTGAGGCTGCAATGAGCTATGATCGTGCCACTGCACTCCAAACTGGGCAATAGAGTAAGACCAAAAAAAAGGGGTGGGGAACAAAAGATGTGATTATAGAAAAAGAGATTCAAGTGTTGTTAGAGCAATGGATGGCCAAACTCACAGTCACGAAATGCAAATCAGGCAACAATGAGATATCTTGGGGGGGAGCAGTTTCATGGGCAAATATTACCCCGTTTAATATCCTTGGTACCAGTGAGGTTGTGGAGAAAGAATGTGCTGACTAGAGCTCCCTGAAGGAGACCTCAGCACCTTTCCTGGCCCTGGGGCCCGACGCCAGCTTCCTGGATCTTCCAAGGATTCTGCTACCAGTGACCGTCCATAAATTTGTTTTCTGCTTAAAATAGCTAGGGTGGGTTCTGTGGTTTCTAACTTGGCCTCTAACACAGGCCTCTCAGCTTCAGTTTTCCTCCCAGGTGAGAAGGGGATACTGCTCTCTTCTTTACAAGTGGGTTGAGAGCGTTTCCCAAGATAACATCTCAAGTACAGGTGTTCACTAGATGTATGTGGTTATCAGCACCTGTCTACAACCCCTTATCTGGGAAGCTCAGGGACCAGAAATGTTTCATGATTTGTTTTTTTTTGGCTTGTTTTTAAGACAAGAAGGGGTCTCACTATATTGCCCAGGCTGGTCTCAAACTCCTGGCCTCAATAAATCTTCCCACCTTGGCCTCCCAAAGTGCTGGGATTACAGGCATGAGCACCCAGACTAATTTGGCATTGTAGAAAGGTGATATGGTACAGGTGATATTAGATAGCACGCTCAGCATGTTGTGGGCAGCACCCTATAATCAAACCACTTACAATTTTCTAAGGAAGGTATATCCATTTCCCACTTAATGGAAGAATTAAGGATTGTATCTAGCTTGATATTAATTCAAGTCAGGAGTTAAGAAAAAGTTTGTGATTTTCAGAGCTCTTTGGATTTCAGAGCTGTGAGTTGGGATCTATTTTCCCATTACCTAAATATTTGATTCTGTGACACCTGTTCTTTTAGTTTTGGTTTTGGTTTGTTTTGTTTTTGAGATGGAGTCTCACTCTGCTGCCCAGGCTGGAGTGCAATGGTGTGATCTTGGCTCACTGCAACCTTAGCTTCCTGGGTTCAAGCGATTCTACAGCCTCAGCCTCCTGAGTAGCTGGGATTACAGGTGCCTGCCACCATGGCTGGCTAATTTTTGTATTTGTAGTGGAGACAGGGTTTCACTATGTTGGCCAGGCTGGTTTCAAACTCCTAACCTGAAGTGATCCTCTCACTTCAGCCTCCCAAAGTGCTGGGATACAGGTGTGAGCCACTGCCCCTGGCCTGATACTTGGTTTTTAAAAATCCTTCAACACAGGACTGGAGCATGACACCTGCTCTCTGTGGGAAGAGCTCTGGCCCCTTGGCTTATCTTCACTTCTTGTTTTTTTTTTTTTTTTGAGACGGAGTTTTGCTCTTGTTACCCAGGCTGAAGTGCAATGGCGCGATCTCGGCTCACGGCAACCTCCGCCTCCTGGGTTCAGGCAATTCTCCTGCCTCAGCCTCCTGAGTAGCTGGGATTACAGGCACGCGCCACCATGCCCAGCTAATTTTTTGTATATTTTTTAGTAGAGACGGGGTTTCACCATGTTGACCAGGATGGTCTCGATCTCTTGACCTTGTGATCCACCCGCCTCGGCCTCCCAAAGTGCTGGGATTACAGGCTTGAGCCACCGCCGGGCCTTATCTTCACTTCTTAGCAGTCCCAGTGACCTTCAGCCTGTGGCAGGTGAGCCTCAGGTAGTTTATGACATCACTGGGTTGTTGGCCTCTCCAAGCCCACAGTGACACTAGCATTTCTCTAGGCCTTGAACTACTTGGGGGTCAGAGCCACCAGCATTGAATAGGCATCAGTTTTACGTATGGGTCCTTAACTGATTTCCATGGGAGGAAATATCAGAATTTCCAATTCAGATTAAGGGTGGGACATTCCTAGGTTAAAATTCTTATTAAGGTTCTCTAAGAGGTCACATTTGGGAATACAGATGGACTACCACTGCAGCAATCAGCCACTGAGCGTTTTGCAACCCTATTTTTAAGGTGTCTGCATATAGTTTTGTCCCTTTTTTCACAGTTTAATTGAGGTATAACTGGTATATATTATGCTGTACATGTTTTAAATATACATTTTGATAAGGTTTTTGCTTTGTTTTGTTTTTGTTTTTGAGACGGAGTTTCGCCACCATGCCTGGTCTTGATAAGTTTTTAACATATGTGAAATGGTATGTAATTGTATGGGTGTGCTGGCTCACACCTGCAATCCCAGCACTTTGAGAGACCGAGGCCAGCAGATCACCTGAGGTCAGGTTCGAGACCAGCCTGATCAACATGGTAGAACCCTGTCTCTAATAAAAATACAAATATTAGCAGGGCGTGATGGCACACGCCTGTAACCTCAGCTACTTGGGAGGCTGAGGCAAGAGAATTGCTTGAACCCAGGAGGCAGAGGGTGCAGTGAGCCGAGATCATGTGCACTCCAGCCTGGGCAACAAGAGCAAAACTTGGTCTCAAAAAATCAAATAAGAGAAAGTAAAAGTTTTACCCCTTTAGCAAGCTCTTGCTTTTAAAGGACAAATCCAGTTGCTTGACTTTTTAATTTTTTTTTTAAATGAGCAAACTAAAGTCAAAAGAGTCTGGAATCCATAGCACCGACAAGGTTACATATAATTAATACCACCCTATTTGTAAGTTTCTATCTGCCACTTCAAAAAGAAGCCAAGGTGGCACAATGTGGTTGTGAGATAACACAACTCCAACCTGGATGCTGATCTGCCTGTTGGCTTCTGACTAACCCAGTTCCAGAAACGCCTGTGAAGATTTCTGCTCCACCGTTCCCTGCATAAGAGTATGTACTTACCATAAATCCTGCCCCAGGTCAAAACAAGTTTGATGTTATCACACAGTTTACAGGCTGTGACACACATAAATCGCATTCTTGTCTTTTCCTGGAAGGTCACCTCCCTGCAGAGCACACAGCCTCTTTCGCTGTGGCATACAAGCCCAGGCATACAGCGGGAGATATACCCGTCTTGTGCTGCCCAAGAGCAAACTCCTGTCTGTAAGTTCCCTAATAAACTATCCTTTTCTGACAAACTGGATTTGTCTGCCACATTCTTTGGTTTCTCAGCTCCTTTTGCAAAATTTGGGGTGACTTTGCATACAGGGCCCCGGATTGTTTCCTGGAACAGAAAAAAAGGAAATTAATGTGAAAACTGGTGAAATCCAAATAAAACCTGAAGTTTAGTTAATATTAAGATGCCAATACTGTTTTCTGGCTTTTGACAAATGTCTTAGAAATGTAAGATATAGGGCCTAGTGCGGTGGCTCGCATCTGTAATCCCAGCACTTTGGGAGGCCGAGACAGGCAGATCACTTGAGGTCAGGAATTTGAGACCAGCCTGGCCAACGTGGTGAAACCCCATCTCTACTAAAAATACAAATATTAGCTGGGCATGGTGGCGCACACCTGTAATCCCGGCTACTTAGGAGGCTGAAGCAGGAGAATCGCTTGAGCCCAGGGGGTGGAGGTTGCGGTGAGCCAAAATTGCACCACTGCACTCTGGCCTGGGCAACAGAAGGAGACTACACTGCTAACGTTTGGGGAAAATGCTTATGGGAGGGTAGCCCGTACACATCTGAGAACTCCCTGCAAGAAAAGATCCTGTCTCCTTCCCCATCGTCACCTCCAGATAGGAGTTTCCCAGCCGTAGGTTCCAAGGTTGGAAGGCTTGTCCAGGAGGAAGGGAGTGGGCCAGCATGCAGGGAGGCTGGTCGGGAGGGTTCCCGGGGAGAGCTATCCCTCCACGCCTTATTGGGCTTTGTCCAACCCTAGGAACGTGGAAAGGTGTGGAGCCTTGTGTAGCCATAGGCAAGGGGGAACCAGATATCTGGGACCTCAAAAGATTCCAGGAGTAGGGAGCCTCGAACAGCAGCTCCACCCGCTTTGGATAAACTGCTGAGTATAAGGTCTTTTTGGCGGACCGACGGTGCCATGGACGCCATACCTCTGTGACCTGCAGGGACAATCCAGATAAGTCCCTGGAAAATCTGAAGTAACTGGAAGACCATGAAAAGGGGAGGAAATGATCAGCCCCTGGGCACCTAATTAACTCTGAGACATTCTCTATTGCTCTTTATTGCCGCCCCAATTGATAAGGTAACTGACCTTGGTCAGCCTAGTGACTCCAGACCCTACCACCAGCTCCCAGCTTGCAAAAACCGCCCAAACCTATAAAACCAACTCCTAGCCCACCGCCCTCCGCTGACTCCCTTTTCAGACTCAGCCTGCCGTACCCCAATGAATGAACAGCCATGTTGCTCACACAAAGCCTGTTTGGAGGGGTATCTTCATTCAGCGGGCACCTTTTAACTCTGAGCATCTCAGCTGTGCTCACAGCAGATTCAAGGCCAGCCCAGCCAGCCCTCCACACCTTTCCCAGGCTTTGTCCAACCACAAAACCCTGGAAAGTTGGGCCTGGAGCCTGATATCAATTGACTTAGACAGCAAAAGCGATTTAATGGTTCTTGTTTCTCAGTGCTGTGAAGAAACGTACAGCAGCTCCCAGCTACTTGGTAAAAGACCCACCCTTTAACTGAAAAAACGAATCTAGGTCAGGAAGTGCATCATGTTTTCAGTAAATCAAATCTGCCCAGTGATCCCTCTCACTTCCTATTTATGCGATACATTGTACTTGTAGATAATTATCTAGTTATTGAGAGCTAGGCTGGGCAGTGCGCATCTGAAGTTCTAGCTACCTGGGGGGCTGACGTGGGAGGATTGCTTGAGCGCAGGAGTTCAAGGCCAGCTTGGGCAACATAGAAAGACCCCTGTTTTAATTTTAAAAAGAAAGAAATAACGGAAGGAAGGAAAAAGAGTCCTACAGTAGATTGAAGCTTAAGTTAACAACGCTTTGATCACTGATGCATCTCAAGTTTCTAGAACAATGCCTGACATCTAAGGAGTGCTTAATAAGGATTTGTTGAGGAATAAAAAGAAATGAATGTGTCTCTCTCTTTTTTTTTTTTTTTTTGGCAGAGGGGTGGGCAAGGTCTCAGTCTACCACCCATGCTGGAATGTAGTGGTACAGTCATGGCTCACTGCAGCCTCAAACTCCAGGGCGCGGGTGATTCTCCTGCCTAGCCTCCCAAGTAGCTGGGACTACAGATGCCAAGCCCAGCTAATTTTATTTTATTTTATTTTTTTGAGAGATGAGGCTTTGCCATGTTGTCCACGCTGGTCTTGAACTCCTGGGCTCAAGCAATCCTCTCGCCTTGGCCTCCCAAAGTGTTTGCGTTACAGGTATGAGCCACTGCACCTGGCTGAATCTCTTTCTGATATATGGATGAGTAAAAGCCTCAGCATTAGAATATCATATTTGGTAGTGTTGCCTTCATTTGAACCAACATTCTTTGAGGTGAGTCTGTTTCCTAGGCAATGTGAGTGATGTCCATTTGGAAAACAGGAATGTCCCTGAGTCTTGAGTAAGGTGGGTTCTGGAGCTTCCTTTGCCTAGATGCCCCTAAGCTACCTGTGGGAATGAGTTAGGAGGCATGTGTGAATGTGCCCAGGTCCCTGGGTATTGGACTGGACAGTGCTGAGAGGAATGGTGCCCTCCCTATTGCATGTACTGGGAGGCCCAGGCAGAGTGGAGGCTTCCCCAAGCCAGGGCAAGTCATGAGACTATGAGTTGGGGGTGCAGCCCACTGACAGACGAGAAGAAACTGCCACTCAGTGGACACCCCCAAGCGCCTTGGGGATGTTGAAAAGCTCTGTGGATCGGTGCTTATCTAGCACAGCCAGAGGGGCAGCCCCAGTTCCTTCCAGGGACTCCCCACGTCCCACACCGAGAGTCCAGCCACCTGGGGATCTACCAGTAATGCCGGAACAGAGGAAAAGGAGGGGCTTTCACAGAATCTCCTGCTGCAGACCCCAAGAAGATCACCTGGGACTGGATGTAGTCCAACTTGCAAACCACGAATGGTCCTCTCCATCGCACATTCACCATCGTTCCAGACGCTAGATGCTGTGTTCAGTGATTCACTGGGCATTCTCTGCCGCTGCCACTAAAACATAAGTTCCACAAGCTCAGAGTTTGTTTGTTTTTTTTCACAACGAGGACCGAGTTTTATCTATTGTGCTCAGAACAGGGCCTAGCATAGAATAGATGCTCATTAAGTAAGTATGTGCTAAATACATGAAGGGAGGGAGGGAGGGAGGGAGGGAGGGAGAGAGAGAAGGCATGTCCTCTCTGAACATGCGCACCTCCCCGAGGCTCTCCCTATTCTTGCCCTCACCCACAAAGGTACCCGCATGGATTCGCGTTTGCTTTGTTTGGATTTGTTTTGTATGGATACACCAGAAGCCACAAGCTATGATGTTTGATGTTTCCAAGATAGAAAGAAAGTTCACAGCAACAACAGTTTAAGACCTCAGCGAAAGAAAGGACATTAACAATGGATTTAACACCCACCAAATGTAGCGTAATGGCTACATAATGGTTTACGCCCAGTGCCCATACCTGAGTGTCACTATACCCAGGGGTTAACCAAAGGAAGGCTGAAGCTTCAGGGATGTTGAAAGTGAATGTAAGGCATTAGGCATCTCCTTTTTCTCTGGCCCAAGGCATAGTTAGGGCTTTGCAAAGTCAAGATACTATAGAGAACCTCCTGAAACTACCGGCACAGCTACTCTGGACCCTGAGACAGGAGGATGGCTTGATCCCAGGAGCTCCAGGCTGTGGTGAAATAGGATTGTGCCACCAATACTCCGGCCTGGGCAACTGACAGAGATCCTGTCTTTAAGAGCAAAAACAAAAGTGTGTATTTAAGTTTACAAGTTCTAAATCCATTAAAATTCAATAAAATTCCATTTTAAGTTAGCCCAAATACTAAGGGCCCCAACAGAGGTCCACATCCTAACAAAAGCAAAAGTAGGCACTTCCTGTAGCAGAATTCAGACTGAAAGCAAAATGCGTGTGCCTGTAAACTGCCCTTCTCTCTCCTTTTTTTTTTTTTTTTTTAGACAGAATGTTAATCTGTTGCCCAGACTGGAGTGCAGTAGCATGATCTCAGCTGGCCGCAACTTCTGCCTCCTAGGTTCAATCAATTCTCCTGCCTCAGCCTCCCAAGTAGCTGGGACTCTAGGCGCCCACCACCACACCCAGCTAATTTCTAAATTTTTAGTAGGGACAAGGTTTCACCATGTTGGCCAGACTAGTCTCGAACTCCTGACCTCAAGTGATCTACCCATCTTGGCCTCCCAAAGTGTGGGGATTACAGGTGTGAGCCACTGCACCCAGCCTCCTGGAGACTTGGATTCTTACACCACACACCAGCTTTCCCTGGAAGTCCTGCCATGAGCCTCTGCAAGGGAATGTGTGCCCAGAAAACTGTTTGTGGAGAGGAGGGAATTAAATAAAGAACACTGCTGTCCCAGTAATCTCTTCCTCCCTACTGTAGACCTAATGACTGGCCACACTGCCCAGGCCAGGTCCCCATTGTCACCTTTTTGCAACAAGGAGTTGTAGTCTAGTCCATAAATGGATTTGGACGGATTATTCAAGAAGTGCAGCAACTCCTTTCTACCCCACTTGCCCTCAATCCCCAGTCCCAGAAAACAATTTTAATCTTTCTACCTACTCCTTAGTTTAAGACAGGCTTTTTTTTTTTTTTTAATTAATTTCTCTTTTTTTAAGACGGAGTTTCACTCTTGTTACCCAGGCTGGAGTGCAATGGCGCGATCTCGGCTCACCACAACCTCCGCCTCCTGGGTTCAAGCAATTCTCCTGCCTCAGCCTTCTGAGTAGCTGGGATTACAGGCACGCGCCACCATGCCCAGCTAATTTTTTGTATTTTTAGTAGAGACGGGGTTTCACCATGTTGACTAGGATGGTCTCCATCTCTTGACCTCGCGATCCACCCGCCTCGGCCTCCCAATAATTAATTTTTTTTTTTAAGAGACACGGTCTCGCTATGTTGCACAGGCTGGAGTGCAGTGGCTATTCACAGATGCGATCCCACTACTGATCAGCACCAGAGTTTTGACCTGTTCTATTTCCAATCTGGGCCGATTCACCCCTCCTTAGGCAACCTGGTGGTCCCTGCTCCCAGGAAGTCACCATATTGATGCCGAACTTAGTGTGGACACTCGATCGGCATAGTGCACTACAGCCCAGAACTCCTGGGCTCAAGTGATCCCCCAGCCTCAGCCTCCCAAGATATCTGGGACTACAGGCACATGCCACCCACCGTGCCTGGCTAAGGCGGGCCTTGACTAAGCTAATTTAACAATGCACTGAATTTAACAAGAAAAGGGCAAAAACCAGCCCCAGGAAGTGTAGCCATGCAGGGACCACAGGCGTGCAGATTTTGAGAGGAGGGGAATGCTGGCATGGTGGCTGCCTAGGGCCGCCAGGCTCAGGGTGTATGTCATGTATGGGGGCAGGTGATGGTCTGTGTGCACTCGTGCTGGGCAGGAGTGAAGGGGACAGGCCAAGATGGAAGTGGGGCAAAGAGTCCAAGGTCCAGACACTGAGAGCTGCCACCTATCTGTCCAGTGTCATTCTGTGCAGCCCCTGTGGTGGACCAAATAATGACCCCCAAAGATGTTCACAACCTCACCCCCAAAACTTGTGAATACGTTACCTTCCATGATAAAGGGGAGTTGGCAGAGGTGACTAAACTAAGGGTCTCAAGATGGGAAGATGATCTCGGATTAAGGGTGGGCCCCATGTCATCACAAGGGTCCTCACGTGGGGAAGAGGCCGGCAGAAGGGTCCAAGGAGGAGGGATGGTGATGGAAGCAGAGATGAGGGTGGGTTGAGATGCTGCACTGCTAGCTTGAAGATGGAAGTGGGGAGCATGAGTTAAGGAATGTGGCCAGGCACGGAGGCTCACAACTGTAATCCCAGCACTTTGGGAGGCCAAAGTGGGCGGATCAATCACCTGAGGTCAGAGGTTCAAGACCAGGTTGGCCAACATAGCAAAACCCCATCTCTACTAAATTACAAAAACATTAGCCAGGTGTGGTGGCATGTGCCTGTAATTCCCGCTACTGAGGAGGTGGAGGCATGAGAATCACTTGAACCCGGGAGGCAGAGGTTGCAGTTAGCCCAGATCACACCACTGCACTGCGGCCTGGTAGACAGAGTGAGACTCCATCCCCTCCCCCGCCCCCCACCGAAAACAGAATAAAGGAATGCGGCAGCCTCTCTAGAAGCTGAAAATGTCAAGGAAGAGATTCTCTCTATAGCCTCTGGAAGGGCCACAGCTCTGCCAATCCATTTTGGGTTTCTCTCTCTCTCTCTTTCTTCTTTCCTTTTTTTTTTTTTTTATTTTTTTTTTATTTTTTATTTTTCTGAGACAGAGTCTTGCTCTGTCACCCAGGCTGGAGTGCAGTGGTACCATCTTGGCTCACTGCAATCTCTGCCTCCTGAATTCAAGAGATTCTCCTGTCTCAGGCTCCCGAGTAGCTGGGATTTCAGGCATGCTCCACCAGCCTTTTCTTTCCTTTTTCTTTTCTTTCTTTTTTTTCCTTTTCTCTCTCTCTTTTATTTTATTTATTTTTTTTTTTGAGATGGAGTTTCACTCTTGTTGCCCAGACTGGAGTGCAATGGCGTGATCTCAGCTCACCACAACCTCCACCTCCAGGTTTCAAGTGATTCTCCTTCCTCAGCCTCCTGAGTAGCTGAGATTACAGGCATGTGCCACCACACCCACCAATTTTTTTTTTTTTTTTTTTTTAGTAGAGATGGGATTTCTCCATGTTGGGCAGGCTAGTCTCGAACTCCCGACCTCAGGTGATCCGCCCTCCTTGGTCTCCCAAAGTGCTGGGATTACAGGTGTGAGCCACCACGCCGAGCTTCTTTTTCTGTTTTATAGATAGGGTCTCATTCTGTTACCCAGGCTTTGGGTTATATGGAACTGATGTCCCTTTCTTTTTTATAGAGTCTCGCTCTGTCGCCCAGGCTGGAATGCAGTGGTACAATCATAGCTCACTACAGACTCCAACTCCCTGGCTCAAGTGATCCTCCCAACTCAGCCTCCTCAGTAGCTAAGACTATATGCGGGCACCACCACACCTGGCTAATGTTTCATTTTTTGTAGAGACAGAGTCTTGCTATGTTGCCCAGCCTCTTCTCAATTCCTAGCCTCAGGTGATCCTCACATCTCAGCCTCCCAAAGCACTGGGATTACAGACATGAGCTACCACATCCAGCCCCATTTGGGATTTCTGACCTCTAGAACTATAAGAGAATGAATTTTTGTTGTAAGCCACTAAGTTTGTGGGAATGCGTTACAGCAGCCAGAGAGATCTAATGCAGCCTCTAAGGACCGGGGCCCAGCCAGGCCTCCGCAGGGTGCACTGGCAGAAGAGACTGGCTCGCCTATCTCCAAGCTGGGCGTCCTCATCTTGGTTCCCTGGAGAGTCCCACATGGAAGGGTGAAGGCCCCTAGTGTGGCCCCAGCAATTCAGAAAGCCCCGTGGAAGTCATTCATGGGCTCCCAGGCTTCCTGAGGAAATGAAAACATCAGGTTTCTTCATTTGTGGCTAGTATTGCGCCCCGTCAGTGTGGCAATGCAGTTCTGTCACCAGAAATGCTGACTGGCAACTTCTGTGTGGTTTTAAAACAGGGACTGGATTCACTGAGACTGATTCCTACGGTGTGGTTACACTGCAGCAAGGCAAGCACAGACGTTTTTGTCATCGGGACTGTTGCTGTTTTCCTTAACAATCTACACGAAATGAGTGCCCATCGGGCAGAAGCCGGCGACAACTTCACTTCTGTTTTTCACATCTCTGTTTTATGGACTCTTTTTAAAAATATATATATTTATGACAGAGTGAGGTGGCTCACGCCTATAATCCCAGCACTTTGAGAGGTTGAGGCAGGCGGATAATGATGTCAGGAGTTCAAGACCAGCCTGGCCAACAAGGTGAAACCCCCGTCTCCACTAAAAATACAAAAATTAGCCAGGCATGGTGGCCGGCACCTGTAATCTCAGCTACTCGGGAGACTGAGGCAGGAGAATCACTTGAACCCAGGAGGCGGAGGTTGCAGTGA